ACCTTTATCCCCGCCGCTCTGCCGCCCCGGCAGCGCCTAGCCAATCACAGTCCCGCGGCCCCCCTCCCACCTCTGCAACCCATTAAGCATCCTTCCCAACCTGGGATGGTGCATTAAGACCCATTTATAGAGCATAAGAGGAAGCGACCCATTGTCAAAATTGTTAGGTAATGGGATATTTTCCCTTTAAAAAAAACTTATTTGGTAAGAGGCTTGAAGTGCACTTTGGGGGAAGAGATGGCTAAGGAGCATGAATGGCTGTAGTGGTGTTTTTTTATGAGCGATAGCTCACAAGTTGTACCCAGCAGAGAGACACACAGAGAGTGATAAAACTGGTAGGTAATTTTTTTTGTGTATTTTTTTCCTAGATCAAGAGAACTGTGTCTGTATAACTATCATTTAAATGGAGGGAGGGGGTGTCTTGTAATTGTTGTTAGTGAGCAGAGCATCTCTATGGACGGGAGGTTACCACCAACTGTCCCGATTTAACGCAATGACCTTTGCCAATAATTGTACTGACTCAAGGATCGACAATTTAATGGTCTTTGTAAAGCATGTAAAGAGAAAAAGTTTAGGGGGCTAATAAACAGAAGGCAGTTTTCAGAAAGGCAAGGTCGGGGTTTTATATCGCAGAAGGTAATTGCCTTTGAGTAAACAAAGCTGATAACATCTTGCTTTATTTATAATCACGTAGATTATAACCATCTTTTGGGGAAGGAAAAAGAAAAAGTGTGAAAACACTTCTGCTGTCTAAGCCACACCATGGTGTTTATTGGCTTTATGGTACACTACATTCTGCTAGCGAAAGGGGTATTTTGAACTTATTTTTTTGGGGCGGGAGGGAACTGACGTTCCCATTAATTTCTAGACAGAACTATGAGTTTTCAGAATGCTTAAACCTGTCTCACTGAAAAAGAGGACTCATATAGCCCGGTTCCTTTATAAATTAATATTTCACTGGTTTCCAATCTAATATATGTATTTACGTGTATTTAATGCTCTTTAATATTTGCACTGGGATTGTTTTAAAAAAATCAACTACTCCGAAATGATTAATTTGCTAACATTTGTAATATAAAATTGGAATCAAATGATAACTGCAAGTTATTTAATGAATTTCTTTGCAAATAAAAATTAATTCGATGTTACCTGAAAGGGATTTTGTTAATGACTGATCAGTGTAAGGAAACTGTTTGGTTTCTCTTTGGGGTTTTGCATTTACGTTTGTCTTGTGAGAGAATAGTGTATGTAAATATATGACAAATGCTTCAGGAATGGTCTTTCTTTGGAGACTGATGTGTAAAATCTTGAGGAGAAAGGTTTACAATTCAGCTGAGGAAGTTTGCACTTGTTGATGATTGAAAAACCGCCTCCTAAAAAGGGGGGACAATCCCCCCAGTTCTTCCAATATACATGCTAGTGTAATGAATTCTGCTCGGCTTCCCAAATAAATGTCTGTAACAAAAATCTCTCCTTCATTCTTTTCTTGCTAACTAGCGGTTCTGAGAGAATGTTAATTAGCAAAGAAGGGCGGTGGTTTTTCATTTCTTTAAAACGTTAACGCTCGGCAAGTCCGGAGAAAATCATTTCACACGCAACGCGCTGTTTTCTCCTGCAAAATGCTTCTAAAAATCGAACATTCCGTTTCGAGAGACAAGTTAAAAAACAAACAAACAAAACCGAGAAAGTGGCAGGAGGCAAACGCATCTGAAAGAGGACGCTCCCCCTTTACCTTGGGATGTATTTACAGACCAGAACTCTGCTGGATTCCCTGAGTAGCTAAAGGAAGCACGATCGGTTGCTCACCTTTCGGATCATTTTCTTTTTTGGATGGCGAAAACCCAGTTCACATCTGCTCTAATTCTTCCTTTCCGCAGAACTGCGGTGCGGGTTCGTCCTACTCCGAACCCATCTCACTTCGGTTTAGCCCCTAGCTATTTTTTCCTCGTCATTAAAAACAAATCAACCCCAATTCTGCCACTCCCAACGCCCACCAGCGACCCCCCCCTTTGCAGGACTGAAACCGAAGCGTGGGTGCAGCCATGCCGAGAAGGGAACAGTCTGGACAACGCGGAGAAGCTCTCTGCTTCGGGTTCAGGCTCAACAAAAAAGACCAATAAGGAGGCAAAGTTTCGGAGTAGCGGGAAAGCAGAGGTCTGGAGGCGGCGGCTCTGAGAGACATCCAGGCGTGCCCCTCGGCCCCCAGCCTCTTTTCGATACCGATCTCCGTTATTTATTTATTTTGTCTACACCCAGGCAGCTGCTCCGTTTCTCAGCGCAGCCCAGAAGCCCGGCGCTTGGGCTGCCATCGGAAGACCTCTCCAATCCCGCTCCAGCTCCTCCTCTTTCGCCCGCCCGGTGGGAACCGGAGCGCTTTCCAGCCAAGCGCGGCTCCGGATCTGGCCTGATACATACACACGTGTTTGCCGGATGGGGCCCAAACTTCCTGGCTTCCCCCCCGCCCTCCCCTTCTCAGCGCAGCCCAGAAGCCCGGCGCTTGGGCTGCCATCGGAAGACCTCTCCAATCCCGCTCCAGCTCCTCCTCTTTCGCCCGCCCGGTGGGAACCGGAGCGCTTTCCAGCCAAGCGCGGCTCCGGATCTGGCCTGATACATACACACGTGTTTGCCGGATGGGGCCCAAACTTCCTGGCTTCCCCCCCGCCCTCCCCGCGTGGTTACTTTGCATTCCCTCCGCGTGTAGTTAAAAAAAACTGGGAATCGATACGGTCCCTTCGCAGTCACCCAGAGAGCCCCCCCTTCCACATCCTTAACCCCTTTTCTCCCCGCATATGGGCTGCCTCTCATGTAAAACAGAAGGAAGGGATGTCTGGGCTGGCCATGGTCCTATAGACCCTGGAAGGCGACAGCTGTACGCTTGCTATCAAGGGACCGCTTCCCTTTGACTGTGACATGTGCTGGTCAGGGATGAATAAGAGAGAGAAGATGAGCGTCCTACGCCCATCAGCTTTCCAGGGCGGGTGTGTGTGGGGGGGGAGGGGAGGGTGCGTGTTTTTTAAGGCGTTAGCACACGCATCTGGTGAGAAAGAGCGAGGGGATGAGACGTGCGGCTACATACGCACCCCAGCGGTCCAAACCCCGCCTCCGAAGAGTTGGTCTTGGGGAAAGGCAAAGAGGGACCCTGGCTGAAATGAACCTTCCAAAGGAATCCCAGGGGGGGACGAGGTGTTAGTCTGTAACTTTACAAACAAAGCGTGGTCCTGCGGCACCTTAGAGATACACAATCGTGAGCTTTCGTGGTCGAACCCCACTTCCTCAGATGGAGTGGAGTGGAAATAACAGATACCAAGAGAGATGCCTACCAGCAGAGGTAGTACCTGCCAAGCCTAAAGACAATGGCTCTCCCACTCCCCTTCCCGAAAAGGCTGGATAAGGTGGGATTCAGTGATTCTATTTAAAACAACCTTGCGCTTGTTTTAAATGTGGGGGAGACCCCAGACTCTCCTCCCACAAAATAGCAGAAGCACGAGGAAAGCCCTAGATGCGGTTTGCCTATTCTACTACACACTGACAAATATTGGATGGCCAAAACCAGACATGGAGGAGGGGGAGATGGAGGTGGGGGAGAGAAGAGGGGGGAATCTCTGTGTCTTTAAATGCAAACTGTGAGGTGCCTATCCTGATGCATCCAGACAAAGTGGGGCGGGTTGCCTGGCTGTGGCACAGTGGAAACTGAAGCCCCAGGCAGACGGACGAATAAAAGTCAGATCAAACGTTGGGCACTCCAAGTGGTGTGCTGGATGCACTGGCATTGGCCAATGCATTTACATCCTGGTTCCCAGTAGCATCAAGGCTTTTCTCACTTCTTTGTGCACCAATTCGGGCCCTCGGTGCCACCCGCTTTTACCTTTTCACTCCCCCCCCTCCCCACACTTTCCACCCACCTTTGGGCGTTTCGTGCCGGGCAGGGGCTCATCCTCTCCCAGAAAAGCAAGGCGGCTTTCTCCAGCCGAAGCTCACAAGGCCTGGCTTTCCCACGCCAGTCGGCGTCATCTCACGTAGGGGAGTGAATCTGGTTTAAAACGCCAACTCCTGGATGTGGCGTGATTCGGGGGTTACTGCGCTGTGAGGACGCAGGACTCCGAGGGGGGCCCGGGGCAGGACGGAAGCGCCCACAGAGCGGTGACAACTTGCGTTCCCTGTGTGCCCCTAACGATGTGAGGAGCCTGGAGCGCTGGCTGGGTTAGGGTCAGCCCCCAAACCGCTCCCGCAGCCCGGCCTTTGGCGCGGATCCCTTGGGAAAGGCCCATGGATCCCTTGCCCGCGGGTCCCTGGCCAGCTCTTTTCTGGCTGGGACGAAGCCTTCGGAAAGGCACCGAGTTTGGTCTCCGTCTTTACAGGCCACTTGCTGTAGCGGGTTATTAACGGGAGAGACTCTGCCGGGAAAGGGGGGTGTTAAAAACCAACACCCCTCCCCCCAAGACCGCTCCGGATCCTGCAGAGCAACGGGCCAGAACGCAGGCTCCGGCTTTGGCAAAAGACACCCCCGATCCTGTAGGCTGCCATTCCCATGGCTGGATAAGCCGGCCCGCAATCCGGAGCAGGGACAGTCCGGATCTGATTCTGTCCCGTTCCAGTCCCTTTACACCCGGCCCTGGGCACAAGCCAGGGGCGCTTCAAGCGTAGAGACCCGGACCGGCTGCATGTAGGGCCGCTTCCCTAGCACGCCCACTGGGAGAGGGAGTTGGGGATGTCGGTGTCCGTCCTCCCCCGGCGATTTCGGGGCGATGCACCGAATATGGACGCGGCAGCGGGGGAGGCGGGGGAACGACGAGACAAAACGCTCATTCAGGGCCCCTTCGGCAGGGAATAATCGACCCCAACAAAAGCCACTCCCCCATTGGTGGGTGCGCAGGGGAGCCGCGCAGCTTCCCCGACAGACACGCGGCCGGGCAGAGTTCAAAGCCCGGCTGGTAACAGCTGAGCCGTGGTGCCCTTTGGGGCTCGCTTCCCCGCCCCCCTGGTGTCCTGCGGGACCTACCCCCCCTCCCCTCCTGGTGCATTGGGAGGGCAAACGCGCCACGTTCGGATGCTACCGACCCCCTGCTCGAGCAAATTAGGGAGCCTGGCTTGCTCTGGGGCAGAGGTAAACAAACCGGAGAGTCCGCCCGGAACTTTGTGGGTGCGAGTTGAATAAATGCTCCCAACATCCTGGGGAGTTTCCCACGGGACAGGACCTACCCCCCCTCCCCTCCTGGTGCATTGGGAGGGCAAACGCGCCACGTTCGGATGCTACCGACCCCCTGCTCGAGCAAATTAGGGAGCCTGGCTTGCTCTGGGGCAGAGGTAAACAAACCGGAGAGTCCGCCCGGAACTT